TCCAGATTGATGCATCAGTCTAAAACAGCATATATAATATTAATGCCTCTATTTTTTAGTTGTGAGCCAGTTTAGCTACTGATACTGTTTTCTTTTTGTTGTTTTAGACATTTTCCCCATTACTCACAGATCACACACAGGGTGGAGGACTCTGGCACATCTATATACAGTCAAAGACAATTTTCACAACAGATAGTGACAGCAGGCAGGCCAGTGTATCGCATGTGATGTTTTCAACACCCTCCTCACAATATGTTCTGATTGTTTTCACTTTAAGGTGTCCTTAGCCAGCCACAAATGCTTACATTTCTTAAAAAACAAATACTCTTTTTGCAGGGAGACCTCCTTCCACCTCAGTGCTACTACCCAAGCAGTGAGTGAAACACAGTATAAACCTGCCTCACAAGAAAGGCTGGAGAAGCAAGTTGACTTGCTGCATTGTTCCCCCTTCTGAAGCTTTTACCTGTCAGTCTTTCCCATCAAAACACTCTGTTTTCAGACTCCAGGCAAGAGTTAACTTCCTTTCATTTTATGTCAGAGTCATACTATCTACTATTTCTTAGACTGGACACCTGGATTTCTGGAAAGATGCATTTCTGCTCCAGCTCTTTCGCTCTCAGTCCAGTTTGCCTGTAAATTTCCATTCTGAAGTATTGCATACGTAGCTGAGTAAAGTGTCTGACATGACTCAGCGGTAAACTTGTCAAGCATACATCTGGTTCGGCCATACCTGCATATCAAAACGTATTTAGCAATCTGACTCTGCCTGTGCCCTTTGCAACAGTACAGAATGTTATATTATGCCATGGCCTCTTATGATTATCCGATACAGAGCAGGGGTTTGTTTCAATGCTGATACTGCAATGACCATCTATAGAGAATAAGAGAAGAGATTGATTCCTTAAATCTCACAAGCGAATTACACATTTGTATGTAGTAGCACAAAAGCACAACATGACCGAGGCAATTACAACAGGAAATAAGTGACCCTGGCATGAAATCGCTGGAATTCATTATGTGTGGCAATACCTAGGCCTCCTCACCCAGAGATACAGTGGAAATCAAACCAGTTAAGGCAGATATGGGTAATCTCCAAGCTGACAGACCTTGCCTGACACCACAGTGGACCACACATGCAGAGATTCTAATTTCCCTGTCTGTTGAAAAGACCCATCTTTCCCATCAGAAGACTCCTGAATGAATCTATTCATTGGGGGGAAAGAAACCCAGCAGAACCTTGACAGATACTGCCAGAGACGGTGTCCATGACCCTCGTTCTCATACTTTTGAAGGGAGGCCATGATGTGTTGTGGCTGCAGAGAATAGAGTGATGGTTCACCCCCCCACCCCCAAAAAAAAAAAAACTCTGAACCTGTAGCCCACTCAGGAGTGTAGATATGAAGGCACAGCCAATCAGGTTTCAGCTCTTGTCTCCTTTTGCTATTGCAGTGGCATTGTTGATAATTACTTACCTTGGCATTTCTTCAGCTCCTACACATTCTCGTTACATTTATAATTGGAAAATGACTTTGGCTCTGAATCTGAGGCAATTCGCCCAATGCTGTCGCTGTCACGCTCTCTTAAGAGGGGCAAATTAATGTAACCTGCATAAGTCTATTTTTCTGTTCAGAAGTGTTTGTGTGTGTATGTGTGTATCTCCATGTGAGGAAACCAACCCTTCAGCAAAGAAAATTATACAGAAATAGATTAGTCATGCCGACTCTCTGGTGCATCCAGACACAGGGCATTGTACAGTATGTTGCAAGTGTCTCTATGCATGTAGTATGGACTGTCTGTTTGACAAAACTGCACAAACCCTTTGCCTGAGGTTCATGACAACCCGAGCCAGACTTGTTACGCAACACGTTTACACAGATCCACTCAATGAGCATTGAGATTCACTAACATCTCTTCTCTGCCTCAAGCCTTGCTGTGTCAAAGGTCAGGTGAGGGTGTTGGGTAGATGTGCTGTTTGTGTCAGGATGACAGGCTGGGAATAAGTGCATGCTCTTCCAGCCAGTAGAGAGGGCAGCTTCTCACACATTATTGAACCATGGTAATAAAGAACCTGACCCTTGACACCGTGGAGAGGATAATTAGGTCCTTTAATAAAGGTCCATCTCCCATGTGGTTTGCTGCTATGTTCTAACAACAAAGCAATTCTGCAATAAACTTACAAGAGAACTGTGGCTATTATGCACTCAGCATTTCTCGTTATTGGACTTCTCTGCAGTGAGGTCGACGTAATGTTGGCTCAGGTGTGGCATACTATTGCCATACATCACTGCAAGCTATCAGACAGCCATTCAGTGAGTAGAGACACTCGAAGGCTTTGGTTCAAATTTACATCTGTACTGTTTTACATAATACCCACAATACCTTGATTATTTTTCTGTTGGCAGGCTGCTACATCAAGTGGTGGGTTTAAGGATGATGGTGTATTACATTACATTAAATTTGCTTGGCATAAACTCTTATCTGGAGCAATTTACAGAGCTGACAATGTTGTTTACATGTTACAGAGATGGGTACTTAGTGCACAATTTTAGGTAAGTACCTTGCCTAACGGTACAACGGCAATGCCCCATCTGAGAATTGTACTGCAACTATTGGGATATGAACCCTGCTCTTTACCACTGGGCCACACTGCTGCACATAATGTTGGTGTATTACTGTATTGCTGCTGCTCAATTTCTTTGTTATGCGAGTACATTAAGCTGGCAGTGTAAATGCGTACTCATAATGATTAAACAAATTTATCTGAGCTGAGTGGAAAGCAGTGTGAGTTCCCATCCTGACGATTAGCATCTAACAGGAACAAACAAGCTAGGACAGACAGTGAAATTCTGTTCTTGTGTTAATTCTCATTCTGCGGCAAACAGGTGTGGAAAACAGGACACGCCCTTCTCATTTAAGCACTAGGTCTATAGGTCTGCGTCGTAAAACAGTTGTCAAGCATGGCCTCTTAGCCACACCAGAATCCTAATACCTGTGTTATTCTGGCTTATTCTTTAGAGCAATCTGTTGAAACAAACGGAATCAGCAAAGAATGCTCTGAATGAATATTTTTGTGTATTTCAACACCCAAACATCAATCATTGCACTTTCTTGATAAAGATCTTGTTGTTTGCTCCTATAGGTGGTAGCACAGTAAGCATAGTAACTTTCAGCACTGTTCTGTAGGATCAGAGTGATTCTGTTGCAGACACCATTGGTCACTGAATGATAACACAACCTTATCTTCCGAATGTTTTGTCTGACATTAACATGGAATTATGCGGTATATTGTGAATACTGTATACTGTATATGGAATTTGTATTATACATAATAATATAAATGAAGTATTTTCTCATTACTTACCCCTAAGAAGTAATCAAGTAACATTTCCATAAAACATTTCAATAAAACATTTGTCTTGTAAAGTCTTGCCTTTGTTAAATTAAACATTTCATAAAGGCTGTGCTGGATTTTTGTTGTGTTTGAATACATTTTGTAATGTACAGCTACTTGTATAATATTGTCTTGTGGTTTAAGCTATACCATAAGTATATGTGCCCATGAATATTCTGTTTAAGTGAGGAGAGGTGTTTTAACGTTTTGAAGAAGAGGTCCCCTGTGCAGTCAACAGATGGCGCTGCTTTCGCTTCTGAAAAGATAGCTGTGATTTCTGTGTTGCAATCACAGCAGTTTGAGCTCCAACACGGTTGTAATACAGTGTTTATGCAGATTAGGATGCTCAAGACATATTCAGTCATGTTGAATGTTAATTTTAATGTATATGATTGAGCTATCCTATTCACCTATGCATCCTAAATGTTTATTTTCGCATAATCAACCTTCCGAACTGCCTGGCTGCAGTTTGGTATGTTTGTTGGCAACAGTATCTTAAAAAAAAATTAGTGGTGCTCCCAGCTGATCTATTCATGTTTACTTTGTTCTCAGAGCGTGTATGTGTATGCTCTGAGACGTGCGCATACTGAGCTTGTTAAGTGATAATTAGCGATATGAAAGATGTTTAAAGTATCCGACTTTGATGTTGTTTTGCTACAAGACTTATACTTGGCTTTACATTTTTCTGTCACATTACACACAGATGTGATCATGAATGGGACATAATTAGTTTGCTCATTAAGTGCCCATCATCTCTGCACAAATTTCTGAACTCTTGCTCTTCTGTCAGGCCACAAGTAGCAGATATGATTCTTTTCTGTTATGTATAAATGTTTTTAACTAATGAGATTTATTTATTTGGAAAACACCAGAAAAGGAGTCAAGTGTCATTCCTTTGGGGCTTTTCTGATTACACAACATGTGTATGACATGTCTTTACAGCCACAGTGCAGCCACAGCAAAGGTAATTATATCATTTCAGAGAGTGGGCTTCACCAAATGCTTCACTGGATGCTGTTGGGGGTAGATTTGAGAAATAAGCATTTTATTCATGCCGTGTGTCAGACACCATCAGGCTCCAGTCTCTGTTATGCCCCACAGTGCTTTCAAAAGCAGCTGGGCAGTGTTGTCTGGAACAGAGAAGATGCTGCAGACTGTGTGCTGCCGGGATGCGTGTGCTCACTGAACCCTGCAGACTGTGGGGTGCTGTGGGAGAGCTGGAGAGCTTCAGCAGTGTGTGAGGCTGTGGAGGACTGGAGAGACAGGCTGGCAGAGGAGGGATGGGCAGTCAGCAAGAAAGCCAGCACCTTGAGGTGGTACATCCTCTACAGTAATGACCAGCACTTTGAGATAGTACAATCTACAGTAATGGATAACACGGTTAATAAAATGGAACAGTCTCTACAGTAATGGCCAGTGCTCAGAGAAATATGGCACAGTCTATATTAATGGCCAGTGCTCAGAGAAATATGTTACATTACATTACTGCCATTTAGCAGATGCTCTTATCCAGAGCAACTTACACAGTGTGTACTTTTACGTGTTATCCATTTATACACCCGGATATTTACTGAGGCAATTGTGGGTTAAGTACCTTGCCCAAGGGTACAGCAGCAGTGTGGAATTGAACCAGCAACCTCTCAGTTATAGACCCTGCCACTTACCACTATGCTACACTGCCGCCCCATGCATTGAGAACATTTAGTACGAACTACATGTACTGCATGTTACAGCCTACAGTAGTAGCCAGCACTCTGTGAGATGGAAAAAAGAGGAATGCTCTGAGCAGTGTTGGCAGTCTGATATGTGTGTCATCACCAATGATTAATACCTCTGAAGTTGATCTATTTGTGTTTACTTTGTTCTCAGTGAGTGTATGTATATTTTCTGTGCAACCACTGAGCTTGTTAAGTGCTGAATAGGGATATGAAAGATATAAGGGAAGGGCTTTGATCTTATTTTGCTACAAGACTTGCAAGGCATTACACTAGCCACCCCCCATATTGCATACAGAGAGGTGGGACCTAATTAGTTTGCTCATTAAATACTCTCTACACTCAAGTGTCCCTGTCTGAATCTTTCTGGGAATTGAGAGTCCATGCTTAAGCCATCAGCTTCCTGTCAGAACAAATACAAATGCAGTTTCAGCCAGAAGGCTTATGTGGTGTCTACATCAACTGGAGATTTCCATGAGTTTTTAAAAAAATATATAAGTTACTCTATTTTCCATAAGGTCTTTCCTTTTATTTTACAGGCATTCTATGATGGCTATGTGATACATAATAATTCCATATTGTTCCCCCATTATCACCATGGCAACAGCCTCCCTACCACTGGGCCTCCCAGCTCAATTCAAATCCTGTCACACCCTTTTAGCAATTTCAGCACCGGGGAAGTGATTCTGGTGATGCACACACTATGAGAACGTCTCTGTGATGATAAAGAAATCGGTGACCTTTGGTTTTGGAGGCATGTTAGGACACAAAGCGACACCGTAGGCCGCTGTTTGGATGCATTCAGCGGCCTTGATTTTATTATAAGAACTACCGCAGGGGCCTGTCAATAGTTATTACCTGGCCCCTGTGCCCCTGCTGAAACACATCCCTCCCTGGGTCAGTGAAGGAGTGTCTGACATTGGCTGATCTGATATGAACTGACTGATGAAACCTCGCCCTGAAGAGCTGTGATTGACTACTCTGCTGTTTGTGATGTTAATAAAACAGACTTGACTTCTGAATGTGCTATTCTTTTCTGGTCCTTTTTTTTGGTGACATTTCTTTGACATTTTCTGTCGGGGTTGAATCTACCGGGTGTTAGCTGGTCAAGTTATGTTGTGTTGTTTTGAGTGTATGACTTATCTACCTTAGATAAGTATCTATTCAAAGAAAAAAAAATACTCCCCAGAAGTACAGTATTACCATTCTGTTCAGCCCCTGTTCCCTGTTTGCTCCTCTATACATACATGAGGTGTGGCAACCTGGCTGGCAGACAGCCTAAGCCCCGACCTGTCTGAAATCTGACAGAGTGTCAAACATCCCAAAATAAACCTGCCAGGAATTGGAGAGGCAGAAACACATCGAAGGTGAGATGTACTAAATTGCGTTGGGGAACTGGGAGCACCCTTGTCAGGGCTAGCTGGGTGCCTTTTGTCTCCTTTGTCTCAGGCACAATAGGTTCATATACACCTTCAGAATTCCCGGACTGCATTGGCATGAGCCAGCATGCAGCTACAGGTGTGAAATCAAAAAGTATCTGGTGTGAACCACTCTAATCTGGCTTGGTTCTAACGCCTCCCGATGGTGAACTTTTGAAGTGTAGTAGTACCTAGTATAAAGATAAAGCGGAGTGCATGTAAACACAATGATTACATTTCAAATACCTTGGAATAATATTCAATAACAAATGATTGACAGACACTCTGTTGTTCCTTTACAAGTTCTTAATACATACATTTTTTACATACTAACAGATGACCTAACAGCAGAAGGTAAATAAGCAGTGAGTAAATGGGAAGCAAATGTGATATTCACAGCATTATGATACTTTCTTTCTCCACCTTTCATCTTTTAAAATGCTCACAAACTATCTGTTGCTATGCTGTGTGTTTATACTTTTATCTGTACTTCAACTATCAACAGCATGTTATGCAATATTTTTGGTTCAGTATGGTTATAGTATATACTCTCCAAAACCACCCTGCTTTAGCCATGCTAAAATTCAGTTCAATTCAATTCAGTTTTATTTGTATAGCGCTTTTTACAACACCAGTTGTCACAAAGCAGCTTTACATTGTTCCCAGGCCTGTGACCCCCCTGAGAGCAAGCCTAGGGCAACAGTGGCCTTGAAAATCCATGTTTATTAGACAGCTTTCACATTTAAGTTGTAAAATATTATATATGCTAAGGTGCAGCTAGGACTTTTCTGTAGAAACAAGAAATGACCGCCACCCACAACACACAGACATAACATCAACATCTCCTACAGATGACATTTTATGTTCCTGACTGACTGCGTGTTTGTGTGCTATATAACTGATCCTTTTATTATTTTGAAAATGTTCACTCTAAAAATATCGCTCTAATTATTTCTGCAACCAGAAGACACCGTGCCCATTTTGTTGTATTATTTTGCTGTCAAATGTTCTGTACAAGAAAAATTCAGCGATTTTGGTAATTCTCACTCATTGAATGATTCTCTGTAGCAAATTATGGTAGCGCTTTACTATGACTCAGCTTATTTCTGGATGTAGCACAGAGCTGTGTCCTGTGTATTGGGTTTCAGAGTGCAGTCCTACTTCTATGGAGGATCAATGCCTTCATCACATAGAACGGAATTCTGGGGGATGTTCAGAGACCATGAAATCATATTATGCACATAACCAGAGATTTCTACTTTACTGACAAACCAATATTACAGATACTATGTGTGACTTGAAATGTGAGATGGTGCAGAGTTATTATGAGTTGCTTACCCTTTGCGTCGCCATAAATTTGGAATAATCTGTTTGCAACTGGGAAGAAGCGGTCGAATGATGTCATCATCTCTCTGGGCTCATTTGCCAACCGTGCAATCACAAAGTGAGGAGCCCCCAATGCACAAGCTGCCATGGGCTTCATGCCCCATCTCTGTCCATCAGAGACTATAACTGGGCTGATGAGTGGCATTCGATCAATAGCACAGAAAGCCCTCTCTGGACAGCACTTAATCCTCTGCTGCCGATTCAAACAACCCAGATTCAGATATAGAATACAGAACATTATTATCATTTACAGCACTGTTATACATTCCCCCTTACTGTTAATAATTGCTTGTTTATGTATTTATTTATTTTTAAAAAATCATTTATGATGTTGTACTGTGTGTTTGTACTTCCTGAATGCATCTCCAGTAGCCTATAGACAAGAAAGGCCTTTCTTTTTTTCCAGTTTATGAAGGCAAACCCACACCAGAATAGAAACTCTGAGACCTTCTGTCCGACAGCAGCTCACGCAGAGAGAGAGGATGAAGGTTTGATCTGCCTGGTGAAGGCAGGAAAACTCACTTGGCTGCACCTGGTTACCGGCCGTCAGTCAGCGGGATTCAGCGCTGCTCTCCCTTCTCCCTCAGGAAGTTAGCTGTGTGGATAACGCTGCCTGTGAGATTTTTACTCTTTTAAACTGAAGAGGATGCTTTGCTGCATTTTTGCACTTTCATGTGTGATGTGTATTACTACTGTGCCAAATGACCTCGATCTTCTGTGATCAAGGTAATCCAGCATAGAAGTAATGCATGCTCCCTTAAAAACACATGTCAAATAAACCAGTGTAATGGAACGAGTGGTCATTTACTAATTGGTGCCATATTCATATCCCTCCTCCTCAGTTAGCCCAGTGGTGGGGTCTGGACAGAGGGCTGAGAATGTAGACCATGAAAGACTCTAACAGGGACTGCAGCAGCGTTGGGAAGTGGAGTGTAAGGGACTCACGGGTGGTGAAGAATCGAAATGAGGCTCCTGTCTGTGAAGGCACCGATTTTCAGATCAAGAGAGGCTGGTCTCCCTGGTGCCACTGGTGATCTCCTTTAGTGGGAAGAGTCGAAGGGAAAGTTGCCTTTGCCTTCCCATGTGACTTGTTATGAATGGGTCGTCAAGGCTATCAGCTGACTGAATTCAGCACACATAAATTAAACTGTACTTTCAGGAGATTTCTCAAGAAGTTTTTCACAGCCCTCATATAATGTCGGTTCCTTTCTTTTTTTATGCTTAAACAGAGGAATGGCAGTACCTCCACTGATAAAAATGCAGATGACAAACCATCCAGACATAGTGTCAATGCCTTCTGTAAATATATCAGTTGTAGTTCTACCTTTGTGAACAAACTGTGACTGTATGCTATTACTTTTCTCCTATTAAAAGAGATATAAAAGAAAGTTTTGGAAGCTTGTCTCACTTACTCTACATTGCAGGAGACATTCAGCCTGTTCTGGGGTCAGTGAGTGGCTGAGGTGGTAATTACTGGAACTTATTGAACTGTGAGTGTGTGTGCAGACTTCTGTTTTACATTAACACCAACTAGAATGTTCTAGAATGGGATCTTTGACAGTATCACTGATGGAATTGTACCAAGAGGTTGAAACTAGTCTAGTTTACCTAATTTACCCCACAGCTGATCTGTCTGGTCTAGGAGTATTGGATGCAACAGCATGGTGTAGGAATACAGAGGTGATATTCTAGTTTATGTGTATAGAGGCAATAACATTGTTTAGCAGTATAGAGTTGACAGTCTGGTTTAGGCGCATAGAGATTACAATCTGGTTTAAGGATAGATGAGCAACAGTCTGGTGTAAGAGTGCAGAGGTGTACAGATTGACACCCATCCGACTGTTTCGCATCATGGAAAAACATTGCTCAGAATCAGGTATGAGGTACAGTCCGCCTACATGGCCTTGAGGAAGAATAATCCTTTTCATTTCAAATAAAACCTCCTCAAGGATGTTCTGTCGCTAATAGATAGAGGAGCCTTGCTCTGTTGTCACAACTCTTGCTGCTGATGCTTTCATGTACAACAGCTGCATAGCCCTATTCTGCACTATTCAAAGAAGCCACCAGGTTTTAGCAAGAGCAAGGCTAGGCTGAAAACAGTAGGCACAGGCTCCTTAGAGTTAAAGGATAATGGAGACATGATCGGTTTTGTGGCTGCTGCCTG